AGAAAAGAAAAAGAAAAGAGCCCAGCTCGCGTCCAGGCGCCGAGAGCCGCCCTGCGCAGGCACCGGAGGCTCCCTCCTCGGGAGGATTTGAAGGTCCTCAGACACCAGCCCTGACTCTGGCGTTCCTGGATTTGGAGTGGACATCACCCAGACGCTGTYGGTGCGCGGCCGCAGAGCCCTAGTTTTGTGTCTGCTTTTAAACGAAAATAGAAGTGCAAACAGGTTGTCATCCGCCGAGAGCGCGGACTGGAGTTCGGACCCACCCTCGGCTGGGCGGGGCGACCGGCGGACCTGCGGCGCAGGTGGGCGGCGGCCCGGGCGCAGGTGGGCGGCGGGTGGGGACCTGCGGGTGGGCGGCGGGCCGGGCCAGCGGCGCCCCGGAGGCGCGGGCGCGCAGTGCGGAGCGGAGGGCGGGCCGGGCCGCGGAGCCGTGCGCGGGCGCGCGGGCCTGGGGGCGCGGCGCTGCCAATCGCAGACAAAGGCCGCCCAGGGAATCATGTGGTGCGGCGGGAGGAAGTGCGGCTTGTTTTCTTTCCTCCGGCCTCGGGGCTGCGGCTCAGCGCGATGCKCCGAGACCCCCGTGGGGGCGGCGGCGAGCCCCGATGAGGCCCGAGCGCCCCCCGCCGCGCCGCAGCGCCCCCGGCCCGATGGAGGCGCCGCCCTGGGACCCCGCGCGCAACGGCTCGTTGCCGCCCACGCTGACCCCGGCCGTGCCCCCCTATGTAAAGCTCGGCCTCACGGTGGTCTACACCGTGTTCTACGCGTTGCTCTTCGTGTTCATCTACGTGCAGCTCTGGCTGGTACTGCGCTACCGTCACAAGCGGCTCAGCTACCAGAGCGTCTTCCTCTTCCTCTGCCTCTTCTGGGCCTCGCTGCGGACGGTCCTGTTCTCCTTCTACTTCAGAGACTTCGTGGCGGCCAACTCGCTGAGCCCCTTCGTCTTCTGGCTGCTCTACTGCTTCCCCGTGTGCCTGCAGTTCTTCACCCTCACGCTGATGAACCTCTACTTCACGCAGGTGAGTCGCGGGACGCGGCCCCGCGCCGCCCGGCTCTCACCTGGTGGAGCTGCCTGGATGGAGGAAGGCTCCGGTTCTGGGGTCTCTGAGTCTGTCTTGCCTCCTTCTCCTGAGTAATTCCGCAAGGAGACGGAAGACAGGGCTGGGGCCGCGGGTCCCTCGCCYCCTTGGCTCTGCACCACTTCGTGGGCACCTGGGCGCCTCTGCGCTCCGTGCCAAGCTGCATCTTCTGCGTGCATCAGATTTGGTACCGATGGAGGGTGCCCCCGAGGAAGCTCGAACTCTACAGCCCCTCCAGCCATCTGCCTAAGCCTAAGGCACTGAAGCCCGGCCTGAGAAGGTTATCTGCATATTGGCCCCACTTTGAGGCTGGACACTACCTTTTTTAAGTAATGGCTGGGTGGACCAGGTTTGGTTTTGATGAGGTGTTTGTTTTGAACCTCAGGATTAGGAGCCCTACTGAAGTGCGACTTACTAACTCATTCCACAGGATTGCCTAACAGCAGTCTGGGGTCACACCCAGCTCCCCAGCTGCRGCAGGAGGTCAGGCTTGCTGTCTGAGCTCATTTGAAAGGCCCCAAGAAAAAAGCCATAAAAGTTAACCGGAGCTCTGTTACAGGAGCAGGATTCATTTTATGAGGCATATTGTTAAAAAGCTAATAGGTTGCATGTGAACTCATTTGGCTGCTGGTTTACCTGTTGGTTTAATGAAAGTATGGTAATTAATGTAAACACTTTGCAAGTACAATGCCGAGCTTGCACGAGGGTTTAACAGTGCCACCACCATCCTCATTATCTCTATTCCCATTAGCTGTTCCAAGTATGAAAATGTCCATTCTCACCAGGACTCTGCCCAAGGGAGAGGCTCCAATTGTGTCATCTGGCGAGGGTAATTTAAGAGCTGTCTCCTGGGCAGCTTGCAGGCATCCCATGCCTTTTAACAGCATCTCTTYCTCAAAATAAAATGACACTGAATTTAAAAAGAAAGAAAAATAATTGCTCTGGTGTAGTGGGAGGCACCAGCTGAAATGTTGGAGGAAATATTTTGGCTTAAAATGGCAGATGTGACATTTAGTAGACGTTACATTCAGTGGATCTAGCTGAGAGCCTTTTTTATTTTTATTTTTTTGTAGTTGTAGATGGACATAATGCCTTTATTTTATTTGTTTATTTTTATGATGTGCTAGGGATCGAACCCAGTGCCTCATCCATTCTAGGCAAGTGCTCTGCCACTGAGCTACAGCCCCAGCCCCTGAGAGCGTTCTTATGTGTCTGGTGTATCAGCATATTTTCCAGTCCAGGTAGTAATGGTATTGTCTGTCCAAATACTCCTTTTTAATATATATATAATATTCTTTGGTTGTCAGTGATATGTGGTGCTGAGAATCGAACTCAGTGCCTTACACATGCTAGRTAAGTATCCTCCACTGAACCACCCCCTAGCTCCCAAAATACTACTTTTAAACTTGCAAATCGATTCAGGCAGTTGGCTACATTGCAGACACTGGCCTTTGTAATTGGATCAAAATTGGGTAGTGCCAGGAAGATGCAAAAGATAAGTTGGTGTTCCCTCAAGAACCGATAACAGTATCACACATTGAGATCTCCACTCCTGACCCTTTTGGGAAGGAGGAAAACGTGAGGAACTGCCATGGGTCTGTGGTAATCATATGCAAATCCTGAACTTAGAGCCGGATCCGGGCCTGGGCGGCACTTTTTCTGCACTGTCTGCTGGTTGGTGAGTAAATGCTGAGCAAAGGAAAAAATGACCAGGCAGACAGAGCCACTCTGGCCAGGAGGCCCAAAGGCATGGCCCTTGTCKTCTTTATGTTTCCCAGACAGGCAGATGTCATAGCAAAGGGCGTTTTCCTGAGGGTCCAGGGAGGCTGGCAAGAGTAGGTGGCACTTAGGGCCGAATCTCGGACCCTGGCAGGCAGAACCATTCCTGGCTTCCAGAAAAGAATGGAACTTCTGGGGTGGAGAGTGGCATTAAGAGGCTGGCCTTGTGACGCCAGCCCAACATTGCCTGTGCTTTCCTGCTGTCCCCACACACTTACTGCCCTATACAGCATTCTTAGCCAGTGGCAGTACCTAAATGGGGAGCTTTAAGAATTACTGCTCAGGAGCTCCATCTCAGACCAAGTAAATCTGCTTTGGGATGGGAATGGCGTGCATGGCGCTGTTCTAAGCAGATTGTCTTCATGCTTCACAACAGCCCTCTGAACAAGCCCYGCATTGTCCATTTTACAGACGAGTTAAATGACTCAGCCAGGATTTACACCCACATCTGTGAAATTGACAAGTAAGGCCTGTCTTTATGATGGATTTTTAAATCTCTTAGGATGGAAAACATACCCAGACTAAATGCAAACACCTGTTCTCCAGGACCTTAAGATTTAGGGAGATACAATATATATTCAGCACAAATAAGTAGGGATTCAGTCGCATTTGGAGTGATAGAGACTATACATTTAGCACAGTTAAGTGGTGGTTCCGAGGCAGTTGGGCTAATACAAAGTATACATGTGGCAGTTAAGTCATGATTCAAGGGATGGCAGGAGTGGAATTTGAAGCCCAGGGGAACTCCAGCAGGTCCTGAGTCTTCAGAGTGGTGGGTTCTGAGGCAGGAGATGGGCTGGGAAGGGAGCAGTGTGGCGGAGGTTTGGAATTGGAAATGAAGCGGGAGCAGGGTCCAAGGGGGTGGAGGAACCTTTTGCCAGGACACTTTCTCATCTTACTTAACCTCTCCACTGAGGGCACTGTTACCCTCCCCTGAGACTCAGAGATGAGACCACTTATCTCCAGTGCCCTGCAGCCTGCTGTGAGGTGGATGGGTGTGGAGTCGTCTTCTCCCACACCCTGCATCCCCGCGACGCCTCTGTGCCTCGTTCATGCACTGCCCAGCTTTCAGCACCCGCCCCACCTGCCTATAGTCCACTGCGTACGGTAGCCCGATCACTGAGCAGGCCCACTTTACTTTTTCCCCCAAAATTCCTGTTTTTAAACTCTCCCTGGTTAAACCTCCTCTTCAGCCCTCGTGACCTCTTAGGCACACCTGTAGGTTATTAAATCTTCATGTCCAACTTAAATCTCCTCTCCACCCCAGTCCAGGGCAGGCCTGGCCTCAGCTCTGGGGCTTGGAGAGCAGGGAGTATCTGGTGCTGTTAACCGGAGGGGACAGTCCCTGCATCTTCTGTGGTAGTTTTCYTGCGGCTTAGCCTGTCCACCCCTGGACAGACTGCGCCCCAGCTTGCCCCTGCCGTGTCTCCATGGTGGGCTTCAACTTCACCCTGACYCCTCTGCTGTCTCCCTTCTGTCCARTCCCTTTTCCAGGAGGGCGGGCAGCCATGTGACTTTGGGCCCCCTTTTCAACCTTTCTTTTCTCGTGAAGCCATGGGGCTACTGCAGCCTCTCTACCACTCAGCTGCACAGGTGACGGGTAGTCACCAGCGTCTTCTCCTGGGCCCACCCCTCTTGCTCCCTCTCCCTCCCTCCTAGGAACCCTCTTACCTGCTGAAATCCCAGGTGGAAGCAGGCACCACCAGGTCCTGGTGCCCACAGACCTGTGGGGCCCAGGCTCTGCCAGGCCTCCCTCCCYCACCCCTTTGCTCTGATGCCTACCCTGCTAGGCCTGCAGGTTCCAGCTTGGTAGGTGCTTGTCCAGGCTCCCTTGATGACCCRGGATGAGGTGCTCTCTGCCAACAGACTGCTGAGCACCCTTTCCTGTCTCTRCTCCACCTCCTAATAAGCCTGGGTGTTGAGGAGGCAGCCAGCGGCAGGACTGGTCTGCAGACTCTCTGCAGGCCCTCAGTGTGCAGCAGGGGTATGTGGCTCAAAGATTCTGAGCTCTTTTGGGACATGGAGCATTAAGGACCTGTTGTATCCAGCAGCAGGCCCTGGTGCCAACTCTGGGCTCAACTGAGCCTGACGCAGCCCCCCCCCCCCCCGGGAGGTTGCAGGACCAGGTGTGCCTGAGGCCTCGTGCTGTGCCAGGACTYGGATCCCCTTTTCCACAGGGGCATCAGAGTGGGACAGGATCCTCAAAACCAAGGTGTGTGGGGTCTGTGCTCAGGAGGCTTCATGGCCTCTCCGACCAGATCTTAGGGAGACACTTGGAAGCAAAGGGGGCAGCTGCTGGGCAGGGGAGGTATGCCTGCAGAGCGGGTGCGGAGGGTGGCGGAGTGGCAGCAGGCTTCGCAACACCTCTGCTTCCCTGCGTTCGGTCAGATGGAACGGGCCCAGCCTCTCTCAGTCCTGTCCTAGGACAAATTCCTGCCATTTGCTGTGCAGTGGTTGGAGGCAGGAAATGGAGAGGTGACCCTCTCAGTGGCAGAGAGGTGCTATGATAAGAGACATGCTCCTCGTGCCTCAGGACCAATCTGTTGGGGTCTGGGTGTCCTGGTCTCTGCTGGGACTTTCACAGGATTCCACTTGGCTGGAGCAGGGATGCTTTGTTAGTTGTGTGCTCCTGTGGGCTGGTACCGGGAACCCCTGGGGCACCGAGCTCATAGGGAACTGGAGGCTCACGGTAGGAGTCTTAGTTTCGTGGAGGCTGCTAGGAGCTCAGCATGGGCATGGGCCAGCAAGGGCTTGTGAATCAGGAGGTAGCTCTGTAACTGGAGAGGTGGGGAACCTGTGCTGGGTTCAGGTCTGTACGGACTTCTGAGGCTGCTACTGTACCAGGGCAGCGGGAACCACAGTGTTTGTCCTGTGGGTTGGAGAGGCTCGAGGAGACGCTGTGTGGATTGGAGCTCTTTGCTTTCCTTCTCCTGCAGTACAGAACTCAGCTGACCTTGTCCCAACACTCCTGAGCCAGGCTCTTGCTTGGACGCCCTGGTCTGCACCAGCACACCACACTGGCAGAATGACTTTCACCTCCAAGTCGCTGCTGTCCTGTTTGCTGAGTGGTGGTAGCTCTTGGCACACCCTTGGGGAGGGTATGATGAGCTGGCAATCCTGGCTGCCACTTCGGCATCCCCTGTGCCTTCACACAGCATGCT